TAAATCTTAATAATCCTAATTTACTCACAGTTGAGGAAGCCGCGTCTACAGTAGAGCGCAATTTAAAACTCATGCACACACACATCAAAAGGCCTCATTTTCATATTTGGATAATAATTGACTTACAGTATGTTATTCGCAGCATGCATAAATTCATGAATTTTAACATTCATATATATCAAAGGAATCTATGCACAGCATTGCATTGTGGGTATTTTCACTTTGAGTTTTGTTGCGTTAAGCCCCAGTAGAATCACTCATGCTGTTACATAATGTACTGTCTGATCAGCAGACTGAATGCATACAGTAAATGAAGTAGATATAATACAGGGATGTGACTGTAGGTGCATAAAGGAAACCAAACTGGCAAGTAAAGTACAAGCAGACAAGTCTTCATCCGACCCCTTCAACTCATTTTCATATTTCAAAAACTAATTACTGGGTTCCATCGTGAACCAAACGACACAAACGAAATAAAGTGAGGATGATGCCGCTACCAGCTAATGAACATCTCACCCACGGGTGACACTGGAAATATTACTTCTCTACGGCAGAAGCCGGCTTCGTACTGTGCATGGTCACATAATGGAAGGAGGATTAACAAGGAATACCTTCTGTCATCTGTAGGCAGTGAGATGAGCTGAGAGAGGATTGAAGAGGAGAGAGCACGATAAAAAGAGACAGAACTAGGCCATTTGTTCTGATGTGTTCAACTCTTCCTCGTGTGTGTGCATATGTACGTGTATGTCTGTGTACGTTTCCGTGCGGGTATGTTAATCTGTCTGCATCTGTAAACACTGATTATTCTGTACATAATCTCCCTGGCTGTAAATAAAGGTTTTACCATCATATACTTGGACTGTGATAAGTTAGTTACACACGACTTCAGCCAATTAAGTAAATATACATTTGAGATACGTTGAAATATTATGAATATTCATGAAAAAACAAACAACAACCTCATTTCTCAATTTCTAATTAATTGAGTGGTCCTTGATCGGCCAATTACAAGACAGCTTTAATCAGCTCCTCATTGGCCAATCAATCACACTAAACACACTAAAGCAGAGACCCAAAGTCATTGCTGCAGAACAATAGTTATAATTAAGAATGACAGCAGAACGACTGCCCGCTGTAAATAAATTACAACAAGAACCTTAATTAACGTGTAAGCTTTCAAAAAATAGAATAGAATGCATTAATCTGTTCCGACATGAGAAGTACAGCCGATGGTGCCCACAGCCTGCGTGGGGCAGCGGATCCCTCTTTGTACCAATGATTGGTCGGGCAGTATCAGCCGTTACTGCAGACCGGTAATACCGCGTCATCATTGAAGGGTCATTAAATTTTCAAAATAAAACATCGTTTAGACTTTATTCTGTTAGAATCAGTCTGAATGACCTATTGTTTTGAAACATTGACAGATCTTTTAATAATAGAAAGTAAGGGGATATGACTGGATGACTGTGTTCCGGCAATCTTTTAATAAAAGAAAGTAAAGGGATATGACTGGATGACTGTGTTCCGGTACCAACTAACTTACGGACTGGCATCTGTCCCCGAGCCGGGGGTTGGGCACCAATGGTATAGGGCAAGTATGGGAAAACTAAGGCCCAGGGGCCAAATGCGGTCTGTTCAGCTTTTTAATCCGCTCCGCCAAATTTTTCCAAATTACATAATTTATTTATATTATTATTATAGTTCTGCCTACTCCCTGCAATACCCACGTTTCCCCAATAGACGGTGTAGAAAATTCTAAAAGCATTTTAGCCTTTATGCATGACTTGAACTCATTTATCTTAGTTCACACGAACGCTCCATCTATCTGCTCCTGACCCAGACCCTATGTCAAATTTTAGCATAATTGTGGCTCCGCGGGTCAAAAGGTGTTCCCATGCCTGGTACAGGGTATAGATTGTAGACAACCGAAAGGGTCACGAAGTCGGTAATGTAATAGTGTTCCATATGGAATTTGTTTTTATCAGCTCCTCCCACTGACAAGACAGCTGTGACTGCATTAGTGATTAAATACAATACATAGAGTATAACAACGTACAACTGAAAGCATATGTATTTTAATCATTTAGGAAAGATTTTTTTAAAAAAAACTATGTTTGCTTCCTCTAAAGAATTTTCACTATTTCCAGCCAAAAATGCAGCACAATGTTCAGCACTCCCTGAAATCAGGAGCTTAAGTCTCTTATGGATGTATGCAGCAGCCCTGAGATTATAACAGTGTTTATTATAAAACGCGGAATGAATAAAAAATTCTGAGTCATTACTCTTGGACAAAACCGTAAAAAAAAAAAAAAGAAAAAAAAAAGAGGATCAACTCTTAATGCCCTCAGCGTCTACGTAATTTGATATGCATGTGGGGATTGTAGCATAAATTGTCTCCAGCAAAACATCTGCATTTTCCATAATCGCCTTTTGCGCCTTGTTCAAATGATGAGAACTCAGACAGAGCCCTGTGTCCAAATGCTGTCTTTACCTTTTTATTTTCACTATCCTGACTACCAATTCAATTTCATTTTTTTAAATTCAATTTATATCTGGTGCACTTGTTATATGATATGGATGCACTGAACATCTGTTTTAGCTAAGACCTAATGTATACTGTACGGCTTTGTGTGTCCTATACATAGAGAAAGGCTGTTCCTGCACATTAACATTGGTTGTGGTAGCAAAACCGATCCACTTAGATTTTACCAGGAGATGTCCTTAAGAGGACACGTTCTTTGACCTTGAAACTATATCCTGTCAAACATATCTCACTAGTACTTGTGCATAAAACAAAATAAATAAAATGAAAAAAAAAATGAAGGCAATATGACTAGTGCGCCGTAGGAGACCTAATGGTGAATCAGGCAATATGACTAATGCGCCGTAGGAGACCTAATGGTGAATCGTTTCCATGAGAAAGGGAAATGAATATGGAGCCAGGAACACAAGGCAAATAGAAACAGAGAGGGGGGTTTAAAATACATGTCTTTTCTGGTTCCTCGTCAATACAAAGTCCATTATCTCATCTGTGTCCTTCTCCGCCAGCACTGCTGCATTGCCCTCCCCGCACCCCCCCATCTCTACACTGGGACCAAGCATCCGCTGTCACTTGTCAATCATGCCTGACAGTCGGTGACCTTGCGCGACATTGTTAAAGATTATTTGAATCGACCGCGCGTGTTTTCCAAGTTGCTTCTGCCAAAAGGGTTTGCCTGGGAATTGGCTTGTAAAAGAGGTGCCGCGCCAAATCAAATGGGACTGATCGACTCTTAGATAAGTTGATTTATTGGGTTCGAGTCTGAGGAGCGGGCCGTGTTCACCAGTGCTTTTAGTGTATGAGCGGTTGTACTCAAGAGGTTCAAAATGACAAGCCTCTCTCAATTTACAGGCAGTTGTTTGTCACTCTAATGTACCGAAATCTCCTGGTGTACTTAAACACGCACGGCTATTTATTCAAATGTATTTTTGACGACAAGAATGTACAGTATAGGTATGCCATGATTCACACTCCGCCAGTGCAGGGTATCGCAAGTTAGTTCTGATGGTTTTAACAGAAGTACAGATATGTCATGGGGCTACGACAGTGGTTCATTTTTATATCTATTTTTTTTCTATTTTTTTTAATATAATAAAATATTTTGCGACAGTGGTTCATTTTTATATCTATTATTTTTTTTAATATAATAAAATATTTTGATAATTATTGTGGTATAATTTGATTCAGAACTGTATGTTTTGCACCCCCTGCTGCACACTTGATTGCTTTTTTAATATTTGTTTTCGTACATTAGGTGTCACCACAGCGGTATAACTTATTTTCATTTAGCATTTTTATGTAGGATTCTCTTCCTGCTGTGAACCTGTGGTTGTGGGTTTGAACCCCACCCATATTTTAAATCATACAGTTCCATGTTATCTGACAAAATAAGGAGTATGTATTAGTGTGGGTGTAGGAGAAGCCAATGAACTCTTTTTACTCTCACCTTAATGCAGTACTTCTCAAATGTTATGTGTTTTTGTAAATTGATTTGTAATTTCATCACTATAATATTACTAACATTAAATTGGTCTGAGACAGACTGGCAATTTGTCTCCAATCCAATAACTGCTTTGAATAATATTACTAACATATAGAAAAAAAATTGGTCTGAGATTTGTCTCCAATCCAATAACTGCTTTGAATAGGCTTCTGCCACAACCTTGAAAAAAAAAATGAATTGGGCTGTAGAAAATAAATCGCATTAAATCATTATTTTTGTACATTATAAACCAATTATCTCATATATTCATATCAGGACAATAATTTATCGCATTTCTACCCAAGTGGGTGGCATGACAGTCAGTAGAGGTATTCTGAGAAATGCATTACTTATTCTGTAAAATTATTTTTTAATGGGGTTGAAAAATATTATATAAAGTGAAGTGAGAATAGACAATTAAAATTTGAGAGAGATAGAGATAGAGAGTGAGTGTGAGTGCATTCAAAGACAGATTTAGCTTCTGGTTCTTTCAGGGTTATCGTTATAAGCTTGCAGCTGCCATTGTCAGACAATACATTTTCTGAGCCACACTTTAAGCATTAAGCACAACTGTGGGACAGAAAAAGAAAGAGATGCTGGGAAGACATAATCATATGCTCTCTCTCTCTCTCTCTGTGTATACGTATATTTATGTTACACAGGAAGGTGGTACCTAGGTGAACATAGGTGTCTCCTCTACAGGAGACAGAACTGTCTCATTCTGCATCTTGAGTACACTCTGTCTCAGCGTCTCTCTCTCTTTCTCTCTCTCTCTCTCGCTCCCTACCTCTCTCTCTCCCTCTCTCCACCCACCCTTCAGTCAAAAATGATGAAGCTTTTTATTGAGAAGGTCGTTGTTGTAAAATAACAAAATATACCCTCTCCCACATTTTCGGACCACGCTCATACTCGCGCATCACAGTCTTCCCGCCTTCCGCCTCCCCCCCACCCACTGGCTCACTCTTTCGCATGAATGTCACCTCTACTGACGGTGGCGGCTGGAATTCACGCACACCTACTCTCACAAGCACTCATTGACTTTGGATGGGGGGAGGAGGTGGGGATGCTGGAGTTGGAGGAGGAGGAGGGAGAGGAGGAGGTAGAAGGGACACTCGGTGAGGAGGACTGTGGGAAAAGGAGCGTGCCATAAGAAACAGAAGAGGTGAGGGTGTCCCCGCGTGTCCATGTCTCCGGCACCGTTCCCGGCTTCTTTCCTTCATCGAGAGCCAACATCCAGCCTCCAGTCCTACATCTGGATTAAAGTCAGCGGGATTACCGCCCGGACTCTGCACTCATTGTTCCACGCCGCCACATTTGAACGGTGGGCAAAGTTGGACCTCCGTGGACAGCAGGGATGGCGAGAAACACTTCGCATCTTTCTGTGATTTTAAAAGCGTCCTAGCATCTACAATGATTTCGTTTTTCTTCAGCGAGAGTGTTCCGCCTCTCGAAACTATCTAATCGAATCGTCTCTGTAATCGTCTCCTCAAGTGGTTACTTATTTCTCCGATATTCGTCACTTTGGAATTGCTTATTTGGTTGCATGTTCGAAGGTGAATGGTGAGTGGTTAAGGGGGCATAGAAATTACCATAATTACCCCACATTTTAAGCTAGAATATTCTAGGTCTGGACTTCATGTTGAAAATGTGACTGTGACACTTTTTTTACATGCTCTGTTTTATACCCGGATCCTTATTTTGGGAATGTGGAGAGGAGGCTTTCTGTTGAACTTAAGGTGAAGTTACATGTCTTCCACTTTGTCCCTCTCAAAGGGAACACCCACGCTAAACTCTCCTCTGCTAACCCACTTAGACGTCCAAGTTTCCCTGTGGGGATTTTAGGAGAAAATCATCTGACCTAGTCTCGTTTTTGAAAGGAAACACCAGAGCCAGACCAGCAAAGGGGGCACTGAGAAGGAAGGAAGGCGCCCCCCTCCAAAAGCTGTGAGGGGGGTGGAAGATGGCAGCTCTCGCCAGCACTCTCATCAGACAGAAACGGGCAGTCAAAGAAGACCATGCCAACCGACCAGTCGCCAACAAGCGCCGGCCTTGTCCTAAAAGCAACAAGTCTTTGTGCCAGAAACAGATTTTGGTCCTGATCTCCAAAGTACGTCTGTGTGGAGGTCGGAAAAGTCAAATTGAAAAGAAACCGGGTGAGTCGTAGTTTTACTTAAAAGTTTTGAACAAGTGTCTGGCTTTAATACCTGACCTATGTTAGGACATGTCTCACTTGGTATTTTTGATACGTTTTATCATCACGTCCTAGAGTAGTACTGAGCCGTGTTACATTTCATTTGATCAGAATCAAAAATTTGAGAGGAATTCGTTGAAGGAATTCAGATACAGATTTTTTTCTCTTTTTTATAGCTTCCTCTGTACTGGTGAATGCTAACTGCGTTAAGTAGCCGTGTAAGGTTCAACCATATTGTTGTTTAGCTGGAATGCCTGACAACACAAGTATTGGGTGCTAGGCAGATAACTACCCTATTTTCCGGACTATAGGTTGCTTAAAGGAGAAGATAAAAAATATATATATAAGTTGATCCAGAGCATAGGTCTCACCAGTGCCCTCTAGCGGCTGTCAGTGTGATAATAACAAACATGTGAAAGTATATATTTAAATATATAAGTCGCATCTAAATATAAGTCGCAAACCCAGCCAAAGGATGAAAAACAAACGCGAATTATAGTCTGGACAACAATCCATTTGCTAGTTGCATATAGTGTTTCTATTCAATCTGGAGGTACCACGATTAGTTTACTACTTGGCCACCAACACTCAAATGAACAGAAAAATACAATAGAAAAATGCAAAAATATTATTATTTCCAACCAATCGAATTGACATAAACCGAACAGTTACTTATTAAACACACGTTTGATCATGTAATCTTTTTAAGGAGATGAAATGTAGTTTGGTTAGGTTCAAATGAGTTTGAATGAGGGTTCAGTTCAGTTCACTCTGGTATGTGACAAAGAGACAAATGAAGGTCTGCCAAACAAGAAAATATGAGAATGAGTAAAGGTAAAGTAGAAGAGGTTCTCGGCCATTGGTCTCAGGTCAGGAGAAGCCAGGAGAATATTGGGAACAAAACACGTTTTTTTTTTAATTTTATGTGAGTTCCCAAACAGAGAATGTTTACTGAGTCTAAACAGGTCCCAGGTGGTACTAGGTTCTATTTACTTCCAAGGATACGTTGTTGTGTGCACGGTCTTGTGTTCTATCTCCATATTCCACATGTTCCCTGTTATCATCATGGTCACTTCTCATGCTTTACTTTCTCTAATAATTTAGATAAACCTAAACTTATATTACTTTAATTTTTGTTCACCCTATGTTGAAACCAATTTATCCTTCACTACTAGATGTTGGTGTGGTGCCTCCCTTGATTGATCTTGCTTGAAAATTTCTTAGACAGCTGTTTATCGCAGTAATCATTTCTTTCTCCATGTCGTCCACCTTGAAGGGCAGATGGATTTGGATAAAGCAACATTTACATATAAGTTAAGGCCTATTTATTTAATTTTCTTTTCTTGTAAGACCTGGATATTACATATAAATAAAATAGTATAAACTAGAATAGAGCAGTAGTAGACAAGAAGGAAGACAATAGGGGCACACAGTGGAAGAGTGGTTAGTGCTTTTGCCTTACAGCAGGAAGGTACCCTGTTTGATTTTCGTATGGAGTGTGCAGTGGTGTCCCTGTCTTCGTAATTTTTCTTAAGGCACAGTGCAAAACTATGTAGGAAGAAGTTAATATGAGACCCCAAATCAGGCATGAGCAAACTAAGGCCCGGGGGCCGGATGCGGCCCGTTCAGCTTTTTAATCTAGCCCGCCAAATTTTTCCAAATGATATAAATTATTTATATTATCATTGTACTTTTGCCTTTTCCCTGCAATACCCACGTTTCCCCAATAGATGGTGTAGAAAATAGCCTTTATGCATAACTGTTCAATTTTAGGACAGTTGTGACCCGGAGTCAAAAACTTTGTCCACACCTGCTCATCCTGTCAGGGATATATTTGCAATAAGGGACCCACGCCTGCTCTTTCTGTGGTACAAACATTACATCTGCTCACACAAGCTACATTTATTACTGCTATAAAGCAAAAGTCCATTGTGCAGAGATGAACATAAAACCTGCTTATGCTTGTGGAGGGAAGCCCACATGTGTAAGCATGGTTTTTTGTACCGTAAACAACCTGTTCTGACACGCTCGCAAGTCAGTGCATTTCTTTAATGCTTTAGTTAAGAAGGTTATACTGTCAGGGATATATTTGCAATAAGGGAAAATAAATTATACTTGGAAAAAAAAAATTAAATGCCTGTCTCATGATAATGAGAAACTAAATAATAACTCAAATGATTAAAATATTTTAATCTGATTAATCATATATAAACATAACTCAAATAATTGAGTTACAAAATGTAGCATCATAGAGTTGATGGATTTTAGTCGTCACTGTGCTTCCATAGTTAGAATGCATGCAAGTAAGGCATTATGTTATATTAGTGGTTTTTAATTATTTTTCTGTCACGCCCTCCCTTGGGGACGGAAATGTTTTCACGCCCCCCCATACCTTCCTGACTTACACCCCCGCAAATTGAAGTACTAGTGAGAAATTGATAACATGGATATTTTTATCTGTACAAACCACTGTATGAGTTGCTGCCACCTAGTGACTGGAGGCTTGTTATCGTTCATGCATTACAGCAGTGGTACACTTATGTCCATATACATGCCATATTCCATTGGAAGCACCTCACCCCCCTTTATGGTGGGGCGGTAAAGTCGTGCTCTAAGAGGAGTACAGTAGCACCATGGCTCTAGCTTTGTGCGATTACGCCGGTGTTTAATAATTAAATTTCGCCATTGTGGAAAAGTTTTTTTTTTTTTCATTTCTTTTTTTAATTGCTATGTAGGTTTGCTCGTTAAAATGCTTCGGTTGGTCATTTCCGAATGATAATGAAAATATTTGTACACTCTTTTTACACTCGAACCAAACTAATACCTAAAATAATAACAGGAGTATCCCTCAGGTCATTTGAGTTTGGGACCCCTGGATTACACCTTAAATTTCAAGTGAAACCTACTATAAGAAACACGTTATTTAAAGAAAAATATCTTTATCTGCCTCTTTTGACCAGTAGGTGGCTTGGGGAAAATTTCTGAGGACAACAGAGTGCAGTACTATTTTTCCAACGCACACCCAACACATAACACAGAGAGGGGCGCTGTTTTACACATCATAAGACGGTAACTCAAAGAGACAGAGGAGGAGACAACAGTGTTTTCAGTAAATAAATGACAGTTAGATTCCCTTTCCTTGGCCACTGCATTTGACCATGAAAAAAGTAAAGCTAACTAGGAGTATTTCTCTAATTTTAAATCTCTGTCACTCATCGTGTAGTAGTGCTCCCCACAGTTCCCTGTCAGTTTGTTCAAGCTAGACTCTGACTTATTCATAAAACCCGATGAACCCCCTGCCTCCTCCATCTTTAATGCCTTCGTCTGCATTAAAGGTTACGCACCTTAACACAGGATACAACAATACACAGTAGACGTTAAAATCCTAAAAAATTCAACAAGGAAAAAAACAAAAAACAAACAGCGTTACGTTAACACTTCTGGGCTTCAATGTAGTAAAACCACACAAGGCTGAGTCATTTAGAAACTATCGCACTGATATAAGGTGAGGATATAAACTAATTGTAGCAGTCAATGGGCGTTTCGGTGTTCGGGTTGAGAACCTGAGGGGCTGGGCGACAGTTGGCGCACAAAGGTTGGCCCGGGCCGGCGGGCAGCAGACTGAATTACAAGGAGAACTCCAGCAGAGGATAGCATTTAGCTGACCCCAAGAGATCAGGGCTGCAAAGTCACTTACTCAACAACACCTGATCAGACATTGCAGTGTCAGGTAGCTTCTAATCAGAAACTTATTTATTGTGACAGGGGTCATGGAGAGAGAGAGAGAGAGAGAGAGAAGGAGAGGAGAGGAGTGGAACAAATGTATGTACACAAAATCAGGCTAATGTATGGACCAAGGCTCGCATCTGTGCAAAAATACAGACTTTAAAAAAGATCTGAGTAGTTTTACTTAAAAAAAAAAACTGTTTCATAACAGTGTGGCTTAAGCATTTTACCACTCTTTCTACCACTTTTTCATGCTGCTACGAAATAGTCATTCATCACAGATTTGCAACTGTGAATCCGATCCACAGCACAGTCTGTCTTTTGGGAGGAATAATAGACGTAGAAGAAGAATCTCATTTATTGTCATTATACAACAGACACATACATAGAAAGAACATTTGTCCTCTGCACTTAACCCATCAACCCATTCCTGGGGAGCAGTGATTGCTTTCCGAAGCGCATGGGGAGTAAGGGAATTTGTTGCTTGCTTAACATGCCAGAGCTGGCCAATGTCAAAGAAGTATCTGTTTTGTAATCATGTATTTCATGCATGATCTTTTGCTCTAAAATGTATTTTTTTCCAATTTTCTCAGAATACTAAACAGATCTTGCACAACAATGCACAACATTTCGACTAATTCGGAACCATTTAACCCAACGTGCGGGGTCAGGGTGGTGCAGTGGTGCGAGTCTTGCCTGTCATGACGTACTGTAGGCCCCTAGGTCCAAATTCACCTTATGCTCAACACTCAATCTTGGTGGATCCGAGGAAAGAACTGTGCCAAATCACTGTTTGGAACACAGGCTGCCGCAATATCAAGCTGACATTTTTAATAGTCGGAGAAGTTGGATTTCACAGTTAGAAATAAAAGACTAGAGAGCACGTTCTGAACCAAAATAAGATTTAAGATGAATAAGATAAAGATTTTTTAGATGATTAAGACTTGAACAATGAGTTGCATTATTATCGAAGTCTCTTGTTAAATACAGTAGTTATAATGCTGTTTTTTTACTGTTTTACTACCTAGTTTGCAGAAAGTCAGTGCTAGCATAGCTCTGCGAATAACAGTGTGACATAAGCCCACAGTTTATGTAATACCTGAATGATGGTTTCAATGGGAAGATGGTAGCGTGTGGAGAGAAAAGATGAGAAACCACAGGGCTAAATAAAAAGTACAACAGTAAAACAGTTGGCTTAAATCATTAACTTTTTCCTTTGTTTAGAAATTATGTTTT